CTATTCTCAGCAAGATGCAGCAGGCCGAGACCCTCAGTGTGATGCAGGTACGGTTGGATCATGAATAGAATTTTGGCCCAGGTGCAGTACCCCAGTGTCGATACTAAACTGATGCCATTAGTGTTTTCAAACTTGGGCCTCAAGCGGGGTCCATGGGAAATTTGAGAGAACATTAAATATTAGGGCTGTCAACCTTCATTTGTTGACTTAAAACGACTGTTAAACATATTTATTGACATTTAAACACCATTCATGACATTCATTCATTGTTTTCATTAACACCAGATCTAAATTTATTTTATCGGTTTATTCATTTTTAAGTGTTTTGTTGCATCTTATTTCATTTTTGAAAGACGGCGCCCATCATATTTGGAGGTCATTGTTGTCAAGTTTGGAATAACCCTGTATTTGTCAAGAAATAAACAGTTTTCATCGTCATGGAAAACCTGGAAGTATCAGGGAATTTTAAAATTGTGTTTTCCAGGACTGAAAAAGTAATGAAATGTAAAATCATGGAAATTGAAAAAAAAAAAGTCATCAGCTATTAAGCCATAAATGTTTAATTCAGCTAATTCATGTTCTATTCATTCAGTTCTTTTCAATGAATTGGTCATAACCACTTGCAAAATGGTCTGAATATTCATAAATTAATCAGCATGAAACAAAAATGGATAAATCCTACCCTTTATTTGTAGATAGCATGTTAGAACATTCAGTTCCTTGAAAGGAAAGAAAGCAAAATAATACAGTACATTTTTGGTAACATGGTGCTGGGATACTCCTGAGCCCGAATGCAGGTGTGGCATGATGTAGCAAAGGTACAGAAATAGCACCCACTTAATAAACTGCAATTTTACTTTTCAGCAAGTTATAGATGTCTGCTTGTTTTTGCATATTGAACATTCATTTTCTTGCATGACAGCTAATTCTGAAGCTGGCTGCTCAAATGAAGTGTGAAATATGTCCTCTTTATTCATTTTACAGTCCCTGATCATGGTTTTCGCTCACCTGGTCCATATCCAGTTGGAGCCCCTTCTGGAATTCCTATGCAGTCTTCCAGGTCCCACAGGGAAACCTGCCCTAGAGTTTGTCATGGCTGAATGGATGAGTCGCCAACATCTGTTCTATGGCCAGTATGAAGGCAAAGTCAGGTGAGGGTTTCCAATCTCGTCTCCAGTGTGTTTGAAGGAATTGTACAGCTTGCATTGAAATAACACTGTAATCACTCTGTCCACAGTGCTGTCGCCTTGTGTAAACTCCTCCAGCACGGTCTCAATACAAATGACAAGCGCCTCCAAGATATAGTCGTCAAAGGAGATGAAATTTTTAATCCAGACGAGGGAATTTGTACACGTTCTAAATCGGCCAAGAGTAAGTAGATGACCTCTTAAACTGCCAAATTAATGATTAATAATTGTTATTGCCTCAGATATCTGACCGATCTGTTCCTCTCAGACCCACAGCGGTGGACCAACATTCCTTTGCTGGTAAAGATCTTTAAACTCATCGTCAATGAACTGTCTTCTGTGGTGGAGGCTAATACAAATAGAGCAAATCCAGCAGATTGGAGCCAAGGTATTTATGTGGTTGGTTTAAATATGTACCTCTAGTATTAGTATTACTTGATGAATTTGAATTATGGGGGGCATCTTAAGTTTTGTAATTCTTGCTTTGCAGACTCTGGAGGAATGTGGGATGATCTGGCGGAGGAAGAGGATGATGATGAAGAGGAAGATGAAGGACTAGCAGGACAGCTTCTGTCTGATCTCATTGCCTCCAACAAATACGGTAAAAATTAATATGACCAACATGGGCTTAAATTAGCATTTTTCCATTCTAATATTACATGTATGTATTTGGCTTCATCCAAAGTGACTTGAATTGTATTTAGGTTAATGTCTTTGTTTCATTTTTTAGTTTTTATATATTTCCAGTTAGTAATTTTTGTGTTTTAACTTTTAAGTTAGTTGCCAACATTTCTAATTTTTGTTTAATGTAATCTTTTCATCAAACATTGTTGTTTTTATTTCAATTAACAAAAAGGTTTTCAATAGTTTCAATTTTAGTTAACAATAATAACCCTGCTTTACATCTTTTGCAATGCTTCTGTGTTGGACAGACATTAGCCGTTCTGTACATGCTCCGCTTTGTTAGTAAAAAAACAACAAGTAAACCAGTGAAGTGCACAATGCTTTCTATATTCTACAAATAAGCCATTGTATAACAGTTATTGTTATTTCCCCATAGACGATGATTATTATGAGGACGATGATGATGAAGATCCAGATGCTCTGAAGGATCCCATATATCAGATTGACCTTCAGGTGAGTCATTTTGTGATTCAAAACACAGTATTTCTGTAACACAGTGTAGACTTATTTCTTCATCTCTTATTAATATCCTGTTAAATGATTCTAGTGTTTCTCTCCACGTCTTTCTCCACAGGCTTATCTGACAGATTTCCTAACCCAGTTTGCTCAGCAGCCTTGCTATAGCATGTTTTCAAGCCACTTGAATGAAGTAGAGAGAAGAGCCTTGCAGTCCGTTGGTATATGACCTGTATCCCCACCCAACATCGGCTCCTTGTCCTTTGTTTCCGTCTTTACCACTCAGTCATCTTTTCTTCAAACTTGAACATTTGAGTGGCCTCGGAATGCCTTTCGGACGACGCTCTTGATCCACAACACAAAAGAGGACTAGAATAAAGGTTTACGTGCCTCTCCCTGTGTTTTATTAAGGGAAGGAATGGACTAGGATTGATTCCTGTGGATGTTATAAGAGAAGGGCGTGAGGACCACCTTCTTAGCGTCCCAGACAGGACTGTGTGGGTGCATTTGAATCGGATGTCAAAACACTACTGTGCTTTGATAGACATGTCTGGTATGATGAATGAATTTTTTGCAAAGTGACTGGTAACGGTATATAGGAACAATTTAAAAGTATCAATTGTCCATTTGTACCTTCTCACTTTACTAAATCACAATGGTTACAAAATCTTTCTGTAGAGGAAGGAAAAAGACTTCTGGCAGATGATTAATTAATCTTTGAAAAAAGTTGGAACTGTTGGCGGCCTTATTAAAATATTCCACGTCGTTTGTCATTACGTGGTCTCATGAGCATGGTCTTTATGGCTACACAGTGTTGGGTGAGCATGAAGAATTATATGGTGTTACAATGGTGATCTTACAGTCTTATTAGCAACACTGTCTCCACTTGAGTATGAGAAAATTTTCAAAATAAAAGGCCTGTTATGGTCTAATTTTAAGTGTATTTAGTTTCGAAAAGTTTTTGAAGATTTAGACATCTGTATGACAGTATTTTATTTTTTTACCATAAAAAAAAACTTCATTTATCTATATTCACTTTTAAAGATATATTGCTAACACTTTACAATAAGGTCTTATTTGTTAACATTAGTTAATGCATTAGCTAAAGTGAACTGACAATGAGCAATATGTAAAGCATTTATTTATTTGTTAATGTCAGTAGAAATATTGTTCATGTTAGTTCACATTGCATTAACTAATGTCAACAAAACTCAAGTTGTATTACCAAATGTAAAAATTAGCATGAAGATTAATAAATGCTGTAGAAGTATTGTTCATTGTTAGTTCATGTTAAAACAAATCAAACCTTATTGTTATTGATTATTTTGTGTATATCGGTTATTGTTATTGCCGGATGCAAAACATTTTTGTAACTGTACATTATCATTAGGATAATTATGTTCAATTGGTTATAAACATGCAAATGGCTTATATAGCCATTACAAAGCATTGTTTTGTTAAAAACAAATCTAAAGTATCATGACATGAAGGCCAAGTATCCCATACTCGGAAGTTAGTGCACACACATTATGTGCAGTGACTAGTGAACACACACACCCACTCTTGTTTATAAAAAAAAGTTAACTCAGAAAATATGGAGTTTATCATAGGCCACAACATGTATTTACAAAATTATAAAAATTTAATTAGCATGTTTTTTTAGTACACCTACCACCGTAGTGGCACTCAGTACTTGACATTAATTTACACATTTTAAGAGTTTAGATTTTTTTTTTTTTATATTTTATTTACTATTTTGTATATAATTTAATTTGTAACAGACAATTATGAAAATAATATATACAACTGAGTCAAATAGCGCAAAAAAAAAACACTGCTCCCGCTTATCACATTTAGAGTTTATATGTATACACTGCCTTTCAAAAGTTTGGGATCTGTATAAAAAAAAAAAAAAAAAAGAGTTTTAAAATAAGTCTCATGCTCACCAAGGCTGCATTTATTTGAAAAAAATAAACAGTAATATTGTGAAATATTAAAATTTCAAATAACGGTTTTCTATTTTTATATATTTTAAAATGTAATATATTCCTGTGATGGCAAAGCAGAATATTCAGCGTCATTATCACATTTACATTTAGTCATTTAGCAGACGCTTTTATCCAAAGCGACTTACAACTGAGGACTAAACCAAGCGAGTCATCGTGAAGAGGCAAACATCCTTCAGAAATCATTCAATTTAATTCAATCATACAATTTTTAATCAAATAAATGCAGCCTTGGTGAGTATAAGAGACTTCTAAAAACATTTTAAAAAATCTTACCTATCCCAAACTTTTGAACGGCTGTGTGTGTGTAGGCTATACATAAATATGTATGTGTATATATATATATATATATACATATGGTTAAATGGGGGAAGATAAGAATTTACTTTTAAATTAACATTTTTATATAAGTCTAGCATGTGCAGGATGATTGATGACACATCAGCCAGGGTTGTTATTATAGGAAATAAATAGAAACATTTGCTAAATTAGTTATAGCATAATATATTTATCATTGCATTACATGTAACATAACACTGTTATTTCCAAATACGATAAAGCGTAGTCTGTACATATAATGTGAATTAATGTATTTATCTCCAGAAGTGTGAACTGCTCAGATCTGCTACAGGATCCATCCCACTGGCTCCATTTTCCCCTCATGGAATTTCGCACGTCTGATGCACTAGAACAATTACACACAGCAACGGTTAATCTCCGGAATAATTATCTACATTTTCCCGTCTTAGTTTGAATACAACGCTTCATCCCGGGGAAATGAACGTCCTTTAATTTATTTCATCTATGAGGAGGCTGGTACTGGAGATTTGGCGTCGGGCGTGTAGCGTCACGGGCGGTGTGTCATTCCACACAGATCGCATGTTGATCACGAAGCCGCTTGATTCAGAGCTTCGCTTTCTGCGAGACGTGGCAAATATTATAATTTAAAGGTTTCCTTTCTTTTTTCAAAGAATGCAAATGTAACCATTTTTGTCTGCTATAACGGATAGTGTTCTGGAAGCAGGATGTCCTTCTACGCCGTCATTATACCGGTCCTCTATATTATTTTCTCGGCTTGGCAGGGTAAGACGATATTGTAGTTTCTTCATAGGCCTCATTGCTGCAAATATTTACTTGAAGCCTACATGTTTTTTTGTTATAAGGTATTATTTGAGTAATATAATGCTTCTAGCTGACGACGATGTCATTTTATATAATGCAACTTACATACAAGTAACATTGCTGCTACAATGTCAATTTCTATAGCAACAGCTCTCAAACCCCCTTAGATTTGCAAGTTCACATAAGGCTGCATTTGTTTTCTTCTGTATTTTGTGTAGGTAGGTCATTCACTGCAGAACCAGTAACTGAAAGCTAATCCAAGTTGAGACCTTGAAGCAAGTGGTTAACTGACCTACATTTAAAATACTGCTACTGAATATGAAAACAAAGATGCAATTTCTGTAAAAAAATAAACAATATATTGTAGGATTACATCTTGTAAAATGAATGTAAGAAATTAGTTTCTTTACTTTAGTCATTATTTCGTTAGTTGAGTGAGCATCTTAGGAGTTAACTAATCATGAATTAATGTGCTCATTGTGCTTCATTGATATTTCATTCATTCTCCCACCTGAGCATTTAGGCTATTATCATGAAGGTTTAGTGTGTAGTAGTGGCCAAAAAGTGATGTCCGGACTAGGAAAATTGACATCTTCACCCTTTAAAAAAGTTTTAGAAAATTGTATAAACACGTCGTGTAGTTGCATGTGCTTAGAGTCCGTTGTTTTATTTCCAATAACTCAATGAAGCATGCCAAATTATGTGGACACTTTTAGGCCAGGCTGTCAAACAAAGAAATTATGAACTCATGCAAAAATGAGAGAACCAACAAAATGCTCATTACTGATTATGTGGTTCTCAAAGTATGCTTTTTTCTGTGCATAGTAAAATAAAACCTGTAGCTGCAATTTACCTTTTTTTTGCCAAATAACTTTACCACTTAACCTTAACCAAGTTTATTATTTTGTTTTTCTTCCTTCATATTTAATTATATATATATATATAAAAGCCTGTATATTATTGTATTATAAGTGTTACCGCTTTCAATTTTTGTAGGATTCATTGTCACCTTTAGAATCTTTGTTTCCCAATATTTTGTAGTGTTTTGCTATATTTATAACCACTATTTTTTTATTATTACTTTCAGTGAGTGCAAATGAAGACTGCTTGTGGTATGTGGACAAGAATGGCACTTGGCACAATGGCTTTGACTGCCCACTCATAACCTTCTGCTGTGGGAACTGTCACCGCCGTTACTGCTGCCTGGATGGCTTCAAGATGATCACAGAGGCGGGACAGAAGCGCTGCATGCTGTTCCATCTCAGGTACATTTTTCACGATTCTAGATTATTGACCACTTGACCACTAGGGTTAAGTAGTAATGGTGTCTCAGACATCTTTTTGTTCAAACTGTTTCTTTTTGGATCTAGTCCAATTCAGTGGTTGATGGCTGACCCTCCAAAATTCCTTTGTATGGGACACTGTAACCAAGATTGTTACAACATTGCTACAAATGCTGTTGATTGAGCTTAACTTTGAATATAGAATATTTCTGTATGTTTTCTATCTTTTGCACAAAAATATACATTTTGTTGCAGTACTTCATCCATATTCTTGCACTAAAACACACGATCCACCTGTATAAATCGTGTTTATTTTGAATTGTCCTGCCAGTACGATGTCACTTTGTTTCATACTACACAAAGTTTAAATGCTTTAAATTATTATACATGTGTTTACAACTTAACAATTATTTTATTGTCCATTGTTGTAATATTGTTTTTGCTTTTTTCGATTTAAAATAATAGGCTTCTGTCAGTGATTGCATTCATTCGAAATATTTTTTTAAAGTGCATGTCCAGTAATGTACTTATTGAAATATACTGGTGAAATCAGGCATTATGAGAACTAGCAAGTACTCCATTCACCCCATACATCATTGAACTTACATTATGTTAAGGTTTACATACAGTAGTTTAATAATATCATTACATATCGCGGCCTGAACACGAAAATATAAACAAGGCTGTTCACGCAGCCGCATCTCTCTCACAGAGTTTCAAAACAGTTGAAATGACAATAGACAAGTGTATGTCATGAATTAATATTTTGGGGAGATCTGTCCGTAGAAGCAGCCACGATGAATAGCTGATTTGTACGGAGGCATCTGATGACCAAGCTAAACTGGAATTTGTGAATGTTTTTAGCCCGGAGCAATCTGTGTTTACAATGCACAACCTCTCAAGATGGTCACAGTTTGGCTCGCTTTAAAAAGGGTCTAGGATCGGTTGGAGTGTTCACATATGGGCCATTGGGCCAAACATCCAGTGAATCACGCTCAGATCCCTGAAAAGGACCAAGTGTGTAGCCTCGAGAGGCTCATTAATCTCACACTAGGCCACCAAATAAAACTAATTTGATTTTAAGGAAAGCTGAGCAAAAGTATGACTGTTATAAAAGAAATGCTGATCTTAATGGTGAAGCTGCTAATTGCTAGACCGAAAGGCCTAACTATTTTCTATGAGTTGCTCCCAGAGAAGTCAAGATTATTCAAAATTGATGTTAGATAACACCAGTGAAGTTTTCTGTCCTGCCTCTCTCAGCCCTTCCACTATAGCTGGCATTGCTTCATCGATCCTGCTCTTTGTGGCTGCTATAGCAACTATGGTCTGTTGCTTCATGTGTTCCTGTTGTTACCTTTACCAGCGCCGCCAGCAACGTGGCAGAACTCCTTATGAAGGTAAACACAATCACTTCTTTCTCTTCGCAGTACATCCTGAATTTACTACATGTGGTATTTTATTGACGTACATTAGCATGCGAATGAATTAAAAATACAAATAAACAAATTTAAAAATCTGTTTTGTTGCAAAGACACATGAAGGGATTATATGTAATATTTAGAATGTATTTTTTGTTTTGCTGTTTGTTTGCTGTTGGTGTTATTATTCTGTTATATATTAATTAATATACATTGTTATTACAACTACTATAAGTAAATCCAACCTTAACCAGATACAGTACACTCACGTAAACATGGCAAATCGTCATTGTCTATATTTTTGCTAAATGTAAACTATTTTCGCCTAGTGATATGTTAAAAGTTGTAAAAGTATGTTAAAAGTAAAGCAAAATATACTATTAGCAAATCTCGGCTGCATGATTGTTTATATCTTTGCAAAATATAAACTCTAATCTCTAAACTCTAATCTGCTAAATGTGACTTATCAGGCATGAATTTATTTGGATACTATATAAACATTAACATCATGATTTTCTGCAAAACTGAATTGTGAAAAGCGCTATACAAATGAATTGACTAGACTTGACTTGATTTATTTATAATCTGGTATTATTCCTGGTCTGGTATTGAGTGGCGTACCCCCATTTAACATCCTTCTGTGTACCCCGTCTCTTCCACTAAGGTAGCTGCATTTTCATAATATATTAAATTGATTTTCCAGTGAATGTTTTACCTTTATCAATACCTTTATAATCTATATTTACAAATAGGTAATTGAATCAATGACTCTCACGAATCGATTAATTCAAAGCCGCAGATTCGGTCACAAAACACTGCTGTGTGTTACAGTTCTCCTGTGGCTTTCGTTGGAACTATTTTTTCATTGCAAAATAGAGCAAACAATACTGTGTTTAAAATGTACATCACATATTTGGGAAAAATTGCATTCTTCCTCGTATAGTATATTACTAACGTTAAAAACAAGAACTCACTCAGGGTATGTTTTTGTATCGAAGAGTTTGAGTCTTAAATCATTCTCTATGCACATTCTGTGTCTATATTTGTTTATGGTAGTAAGTGCTAAATCCCCACTTTTACAAAGGTATATTGTAGAGAACGGCAATAATGTAGCCCGATTTGCTAAGGCAGCATACTCTGCATGCAACCTATCATGTGCACACTGCTTGTGTGGATGCAGTCAGTTTTGACCGCAAAAGATGAGGTAATTTGATAGGATGTCATGTATTTGACCTTTTATGGCATTTTGCCTGTTAGAAATACATGCTTGGTTTTAATGTTATTTTAAGGTGGAGTAGAATTAAATGAACAGCAAAACTCAGCATTTTGTTCATGTAACCCCTTCTGTCACCTCACTACCCCCAGGAATACGTTTACCCCAGTTTGGGAACCACTGTGGAATTGCATTGAGTTCTTCATTAGTTCTATGTATTTAACCATCGGCTATGTATTTAACCATCGGCACTTACTACTAATTTTCAAAATGCTTGCTTGCATGAACTGATTCTTATAGAAGAATAAAAATCATCATTTACTAACATTAGTCTCAATTTCAGCCCAGCACATTCCAATGGCCAGCTATCCTGTGGAGCATATGTACGACGCTTATGGTAAACCCATTGGACATCCTGATTATCCTGGATTTCCAATGGTACCACAGTATCCAGGTGTCCCTCACCAATATCCTATGATGCACCATGGTCCTTATCCTCCTAATCCTCCTGATGCAGGATACAGTCAAGCAGGTATTCACATGGCCTCTGTCAGAGATCGCATACTTAGCTCTTAAAGTCACCATGAAATCAAAACGGACACTTCTTTTTTTAAGGAATACTGCAGTATTTATTATAAATCATTTATCCATGTAGATCATTATTATTTTTTAACTCATGTGCCCTCATGAACTTTTATTAAAATAACTTCTGTACTTTGCAACTACAACCCGAATTCTGGAAAAATTGGGACGTTTTTTAAATTTGACTTTCAAATCACATGAGCTAATATTTTATTCACAATAGAACATAGATAACATAAAAAATGTTTAAACGAAGAAATTTGACACTTTTATCCACTAATGGCACTTTTCCACTACACAGTACCAGCTCGCCTCGGCTCGGCTCGACTCGACTCGACTCGCCTTTGTTTGGTTTTCCACTGTGTAAAAGTTGTACCTGTACCTGCTTTCGGGTACTTTTTTTCGTACCACCTCCGGCGAGGTTCTAAGCGAGCTGAGGCGAGCTAAGGCGATACTAAAATGTGACGTGAAAACAATGCCGACTGCTGATTGGTCACAGAGAATCTGCATCATCATTGCACGCGCCAGATGGAGTATCCAGAATAACCCCGCCATTTTTAAATAGTTTGGCCAGAGATAGTTACTAAACTTACTACTATTATTATGGCAACTCGGAAGAATACGCCGTGGTCAAACGAGGAGGTGCAGACATTCCTTTGTTTGGTTGCCGAAGAGAGGATCCAGCGAGAGCTTGATGGGGCAACGAGGAACGAAAGGCGTTGCTATGACGACCGGGTACTATTTGTGGCGGTACTTTCTGCAATGGAAAACGGAGCGAAAAGCGAGCCGAGTCAAGGCGAGCCAAGGCGAGTCGAGCTGGTACTGGTAATGGAAAAGCGCCATAAATGAGCTCATTTCAAATTTGATGCCTGCTACAGGTCTCAAAATAGTTGGGACGGGGGCAACAAATGGTTGAAAAAGCAAGAAATTTAGAAAGGATTCAGGTGGGAGAACATCTAGCAACTAATTAAGTTCATCTATATCAGGTCTGTAACATGATTAGCTATAAAAGGGATGTCTTAGAGAGGTAGAGTCTCTCAGAAGTAAAGATGGGCAGAGGCTCTCCAATCTGTGAAAGAGTGCGTAAAAAGATTGTGGAACACTTTAAAAACAATGTTCCTCAACGTCAAATTGCAAAGGCTTTGCAAATCTCATCATCTACAGTGCACAACATTATCAAAAGATTCAGAGAAACTGGAGAAATCTCTGTGCGTAAGGGACAAGGACAAAGACCGTTATTGGATGCCCGTGGTCTTCGGGCCCTCAGACGACACTGCATCACTCATCGGCATGATTGTGTGAATGACATTACTAAATGGGCCCAGGAACACTTCCAGAAACCACTGTCGGTAAACACAATCCGCCGTGCCATCTCCAGATGCCAACTAAAGCTCTATCATGCAAAAAGGAAGCCATATGTGAACATGGTCCAGAACCGCCGTCGTGTCCTGTGGGCCAAGGCTCATTTAAAATGGACTATTTCAAAGTGGAAAAGTATTCTATGGTCCGACGAGTCCAAATTTGACATTCTTGTTGGAAATCACGGACGCCGTGTCCTCCGGGCAAAAGAAGAGGGAGACCTTCCATCGTGTTATCAGCGTTCAGTTCAAAAGCCAGCATCTCTGATGGTATGGGGGTGCATAAGTGCATACGGTATGGGCAGCTTGCATGTTTTGGAAGGCACTATGAATGCTGAAAGCTATATAAAGGTTTTAGAGCAACATACGACGACGTCTATTTCAGGGAAGGCCTTGTGTATTTCAGCAGGACAATGCAAAACCACATACTGCAGCTATTACAACTGCATGGCTACATCGTAGAAGAGTCCGGGTGTTGAATTGGCCTGCCTGCAGTCCAGATCTTTCACCTATAGAGAACATTTGGCGCATCATTAAACGAAAAATGCGTCAAAGACACCACGAACACTTCAGCAGCTGGAAACCTATATAAGGCAGGAATGGGACCAAATTCCAACACCAAAACTCCAGACACTCATAAACTCGATGCCCAGACGTCTTCAAACTGTTTTGAAAAGAAGAGGAGATGTTACACCATGGTAAACGTGCCCCCGTCCCAACTATTTTGAGATCTGTAGCAGGCATCAAATTTGAAATGAGCTCATTTATTGGATAAAAGTGTAAAATTTCTCAGTTTAAACATTTGTTATGTTATCTATCTTCTATTGTGAATAAAATATTGGCTCATGTGATTTGAAAGTCTTATAGTTTTCATTTTATTCAAATTTAAAAAACGTCCCAACTTTTCCGGAATTCGGGTTGTACATCTCTTCTCTGATGATGTGTTTACTGGCATGAGGGCGGGACAAACTAGCGAACCAAAATGAACCAATCAATTCCTGATGGACAAAATCAAGTCCCACCCTAAAAGTTTTTCTTATTGGAGAAGCCATTTCACGGATATAGAAGGGAAGAAAAAAACGATGGCAACTTACGTATCATGCCAACTTTAAAGGTTATAAAGGTTCCAAAAAAAGAAGAATCATTTTTGGTTCTCCAAAGATCCTTTGAGTGAAATGTTTCTTAAAATAACCAGACAGTTTTTCTTTATGTAAAGAACATTTTAACAAGAATATTAAAAAAATCCCCTTTAATGGACCTTTTGTGCAATGGAAAGGTTCCATGGATGTTAAAGTTTCTTCATGGAACCACCGATGCCAATAAAGAACCTTTTATTTTTAAAAGGTTTTTATGCAATGGAAATAAAAACACCACATTTCCATATAATAGCACACAGAATCAGAAAGCTTTTCGCTGAACTGTGTTATTGTTGTGTTTTCAGCTCCTCCACCATACTCCCCTCCCCAATACCCAGGGCACTGAAAGAGCTGGAGTCCCTCAGCGAGAAGAAGATAACCCATACAATGGGTGATGAAGAGGGCCCATGCTTGTTTGGAATCCCTTGTATGAGAAGCGGTTTTAAAAAATGATTTATGTTATTTATTTCTTGATTATTTTGTGGAGTGAAGCATGAACTGACTTCGGAATCGCCTCATGCCGTCGGAGTGTTTTCTTGTTTGATGTACAGCATTCACGTTTCACTAATCAACAAGACTCTTCCCACTTAAATCCAGCAACTCGGTGAACTAAAAGACTGCTTGAAATTTGCCATTATATTTTGTTCAAACTCTCTGAAATGGACCGTTAAATATGACTGTCCTGCAGAAGAGACTGGCTGACAGTTCTGACTTATCCAGGATATAATTCTCTGTTCCGCCAAATAAGACGCAGCGTGTGACATTTGCACTTTATTCTGCAATCGACATGCTTAGCTGTCTTTCCCTGCTTGTTTGTTCAAAATGTATTTATTTTACCGCTAATCTGAGCATGTCATGTGCATTAACACCAAATCATGCTGTACGCTTTTCATGTCTTAGATGTCTTATAGACAGTTAACATGCGGACATGAGACATAGATGTCTTATAGACAGTTAACATGGAGTATGTAAATAAGAAAGAACTTACATTAAGAAAGAATTTCAGCCAAAACTTCATTCTGCACATTTGTAGTTCGTCAACTGTTGTTAGATCTGGCTTGAGGTTGAGCTGTAATGTTAACGGCCCCTAGAATTGCATGTCTTTTATTGTATCTTGCTTCCCAGGCCAGCTGTCAAGGAAATCACAGCAATGTTTGCATTCAGTTAGTTTAGTTCAGTCTGTTTTTACTTGTTTCAAAAAGGTTTTTGTAAAACATTTCACATTCATTTATGTTGTTTTGTTACATTCTCACAGCGAGGTACGTTTAAGTCCCTTTAAGGCAAGTCATTTCACTCGGCGATTATTTTCGTAACGCCCACATGCCGTTATTTCCAGCCATGTACAGCTCCTATTTACTTGAATGAGGAAATACTGAAATTTGTTTGACGAAATTACTTTCATTAAGTTCACGCCAAAAAGAAATGAATAAATAAATACAAATTTTCACACCCTTTCCCATTGGCTCTTTTAACTGTAAAGGTGCTGTCAAATTTACCCTTGTTCAGCTAATTTGAATGGGAATCCTCACAATTATGAATTTTGTCACGTTGTGCGAATGTGCCACATTGACCAACAGTCAATGTTTGAAAGTGACTTTTGTTTGAGCTGTGCTTCATACATCGCTACATTATTAACTTTTTTGGGTGTTTTTCCCCCATATATATTAGCACGAGTGGATGTCTCTGCCTTAATTACTTTAAAAGTTCATCATAAGTTAAACTTTTCAAGGGTAGATGTAAATGAATGTAAATGTAAAGAATTAGACATCACATTAAAATAATCAATTGTCAGGTACATTTGAGGTGCGATTGGTTTTGACTTTAAATGATTTCTGCTACCTCCTCATCTCACATCTGTAATATTAGTTTTGATGCTTAGTCCACTGTTTAAATAACGTGTTAGTTATTTAAAATAATGTATATTTAACAGTGTTGTTTTTGTTATATACAGCATATGCTACTGTATCTGTCACTCTGGAATGTGAAGCACAAATAAGAAAAGGAACTATAAAGAGACATTTTTACAACATGTAACATTAACAGGCATTTTAAACCTGGGGGCGAGGCAATTAATAGATTACTAGTGTTTGAACTTGCACTAATCATCCTAGAAGAGAGGTCTAATTGAACAGACTGGACAAGTGATATTGCATAATTCTCTTTTTACAATAAAAACAGACTTGACTTTGCTGTCTCCATTAATGCTGTATCTGAAATCAATGAGTAACCATATCAACAGATGTAAATAAACTCTGCTGCGATTATCCTACTCTTTTAGACAGCACCAGAGCCCATCGTAGTCCCAGAGCCACAGAAAGACAAGTCTGAACAGGTGCACGAGCCGCCAATAACATCCCTCATGGAGATTACCCATTACCAGTTATAGAGTTTGACCAGGTGTGAGGGCCAGCAGCGATATCCATACCAGTGGGCATATTGATAGAGTAAGAAGGAACGGAGTGGAGCCCAGGCAGAGATGTGTGTGCAGTACTCGGAACCTATTGTAATAATTGTGGAATGTGAAGGGATCAGTTTGAAGTCTCCGTTGTTGGCCTGTTCCAAGTCCCTTTCGTCGCTCAGCACCAAGTCTTTTTCGTCGCTCAGCACCAAGTCTTTTTCGTCGCTCAGCACCAATTCTGCATTGTTGCTGATGCTCCCACCTCCTCTGCCTATGAGGTTCTAGTTATTTGGTCCTGGTTCCCTTCAGCCATTTGGCTCCTTCCCTAGCAGCTCGGATCCGACTTGGGCTTTCAACTCTCCAGCTCTGCCCTGGTGTGTGGATCTCCCTGAAGCCCCGGACTCCACCTCGTCCTGTCGACCCATTGGCCTCACCATGGCTACACACTAGCTCAGCTCCACTGTGACCCCTCCTCCCTCAAGCTCCACCTTGGTCAGTCATATCACCCTGGTTGTGCCACTGACTTTCGGTTTCTTCCTTCCCTCCGACTCCACCGTTGTCTTCGCTCACTCCGGCTCTGCTGAGTCCCCGTCTTCACCTTGGTCCCGCCTTGGCCCTCCAGTCCATCGGTGTCGCCCTGGGTCTTCATCTCCTTGGCTCCGCCTGGGTTTTTACCACCCTCGTCTCCACCTCACTCTGTTGGGCTCCTGGCTACACCCTGGCTCCTCCTCCCACTGTGGGCCTGCATCCTGATGGCTCTGTTTGGAGTCACTCCCTGGCTTCTCCCACCGTCACACCCTCCCTAACTCCTCCCCTGCCATCTCCTCCCTCATCATTGGAGGTCCCTTCTGCCTACTCCTCATCCTCCTTCCTCCTCTGTTGGACTTTGTTTTTTAAGTTTGAGTTGGTTTTTCATTGTTTCCTGTTCTGTTTCCTTTGTTTGCATTTGTTTCCATGGTTATTCATTGTTTGATTAATTAACTGAAAATTTCCCGTTTCTTTCATTGTTTTAGTATATATTGAGCCTGTTTTCAGTTAGTATTTGTTTCGCTCTTATCTGTATACAATGGTTATGTTTGTGTTCTTTAGATCCAGGAGTATCCTGAGTATTTTGTCATTTTGAGTTTGTAATAAACACTGCTGCTATTAGATCCTGCTCTTTTGTTTCTCTGCTGCAACAATTGGTGACAGATTTGTGGTCTTGGCTTACGATTTGCTTCCATTAAGATGAAGCATAATCATTTCAAATTTATGAATAGCCTATATTCTATTAAACTGATTCCTGGAATAGCACAGCAGCCTATTATAGTATCCAACCTATTTCTATAACATTCTTTAACATCACTGGAAAAATATTTTCAGTAGCCTACTCCAGGAATCCTGATTTCCTATCAGGAAGTAACAGTATGTTTCTGGGATGCTTTTGAGTTTTAGTAAACCATATCCTTCCCAATTGCCTTTAAAGGACTATGTACCCCCATCTAAATATGGTCATGTGCTCGATGGATTTCAAGGAATGTCCTAGCACTACAAACTTACGCTGACACTCCATCGCGTCTCGCGCTGCTCCTCGCGTTTCTTTCACATCCAGAAAGGCTTCAATTTGACTCTTTTCCTCGTTTTTCATCTTCACTTTCTAATCTGACAGCTCTATTAATTAATTATTATTTTTTTCAAAAGGTAAAATAACTGAAAAATACACCGATATCTTCAGCAAATTCTACAGAAGTTTTTGTCATTATTGAACGCAACTATGTCCCGGAGGAAAGTGAGGGGACTCACTAAAACCGGGCGACAGGTGAGCGAGGACCCGGACCTCGACAGCTTGCTGTCAAACCTGTCACCTGAAGAAATGGAAGAGCTGCAGAAAGAGGTATCTGTTGTCCCCGATCCAGATCCGAGTGAAATACTCGTTGTGGACCAAACGGATTTAAAACCAACCGCGCCAGTTAAAAAGGAATCACAATTGAGCAGCCAGACCGATGATTTCAAATCCCGCTTCCAGAGAAACCTGTCAACAGAGGTAAAATATTCACTAGCTAGCCTACCTTAAAAGTTTGTCTATGAAAATTTGAACGCTGGAGTTTAGCCTAACATGCTTAGTAGAACCTTGAAGACGTGGCAGAATAAATTAATAAAAGTATAGGCTAATGTGGCTTATGTTTTGTGTGTAGATGTAATTGTATCATTTTATGACACTTGCATAATGTCCACCTTATTTTGTATAACTTTTACAAATTAGACTTGTACAAACTTTAACTGTAAAAGGCTATGCAATGTTTACTTTTTTACTTTTCAATTTAAATACATAATCCAAGCAGGAGAAATATATCTAATAGATACCTATGGAGTCTCTTTGGATGCTAAAGTCTCTTGAAATGTTGGCACAGTTGAAGTTCCTTGGTTGATTGCTCCTTTGCTCACTACCTTTTAAGGATAAGTCTGCCAAGGCTGGAGCTTTCCAGTGAAAAAGTGCAGCTCACAAATCAAACAGTCAGCCACTGTGCAAGTTTACATCTTCTTCACTGTGAAACAACCGACTGTGCATAGTGTAAACATCCAATGTGCATGCACTACAGGTTTATATAACCATCTGTGTCAAAGCAGGGACTTTAGTTTAACATTTTCATGTTTTAATGTAGGCCTAAGCCACTGGTTTTTCCTTCAGTTGGTTCCCCCAAAACAAAAATATAAATTTTATTGTATATGTCGCCATTATTTGTCCATAATTCATACATATTTGATCCTCAGGGAGAGCCGAAGAAGGAGAGCCGGAAGCAAGAGTACCTGCGTAAGATGGGGCTGAGCCAAGAGAAGAATACCACGTCTGACAGCAGAGATGGAGGACTTCAGAGGACCCCCTCCACCTCTTCCTTCCCTAAATGTGATGATAGAATGGAGGACAGGACCCGCAGAGTCACAGAGGGCACCAAAGATGACAAATCTGTCCTTTCCAAAAAGGATGAGGAGAGTGAGAGAAAACTAGAGGTGAAAGAACAAAATGATGGGAGTAAACTCAAAGACAGAAGAGAGATGAGAGAAAGTAGCAGCAGCAAAACAAAAGAATTAATTTCTAAGCTTCAGGAGAAAAAGGAGGATAGTAAAGAGAAAAATAGAAAGGAGGGCAGTCGGAAAAGGGAATCTGGGGAAAGTAGAGCAAAAGAGATGATTTCTAGGATAAAGGAGAAAGAGGAGAAGGAAAGGGAGAGAAAGGATGAGTTTAGGAAGAGAGAGGAGAACAAGACTAAAGGCTATCCGTCCAGGTTAGAGGAAAAGCAAAATCAGGTTCTAGACGACGAAACAAAAGAAAAGGACAAAGATGAAAAACTATTAAGAAGGTCAAGCGAGAAGTCGAAAGAGGGCCCTACGTTGGAATTGAGGGGACTTGCTGAAAATAAAGAGAAAGAACCTGAAAAGAAGGATGAAAATGTAAAGAAGCCGCAGGAATATAATGCAAAGGCAAGTGATAAGGAAAGAGAGGATGTTCAGAAACAAAATGAAATCATAAATGAAATTCATGAACCCATCAAGGAAGTGAACATTGAAAACTGTGTCTCAGACACCATTTCAAAAAGTAAGACCAAAGAGGAGGAAGAGGAGG